TCAACGGCTTGGATCTGATGGTGAGGGGTGAGACGAGGTCGTTTGGCATTAAAACGGGGTCGTTTGGTTTAAGTGAGGGGTTGGGTTGAAATGGTTACTGGGTCGGGTTATGTTAAACGGACCTGGGGGTGTGATCCTGGCCGTCGATCCACTTGAGATCAACGGCCCAGCTTAAACGGGACAAAACGATGCCGTTTGGACGCTTAAAGGGGGCGGACCATTTTGCTCATGGGGCCAGTTCATTTTGGGCCTATTTTTGTTTGATTTTCTGGCCCAAAAATGGGTGTCCTCCATTCTTTTCCACTTTAATTCAAACAAAACCCTTAAATAAAACAATAAATAAAATTATACACCCACAAAATTAATATCTAATAAAAATCAACTAATGACAAGAAACACTTATGCATATATTTTGATTTTCTTTTTCTTTTTTTGGAGTAATTCTCGTGAAGCAAAAATCACGTGCTTACAGGCCATAACCGACCAAAGTTGGTCGGTTTTTTTGGTCGTATTTACCGAATTTCTAGTAGTGTTTGCTCCGGAGTTGCTTATTTGGTCAGTATGATTTAGACATGTATTGATTGGTATGTCGGGGCCCTGTCCCGGCCTTATGACGTTTATGTACTCTTAGAGACTTGTAGAAATATGTTATGTATATAAAAGATTGTATGGCCTTGTCGGCCTATGTTCAGTGTACGAGTGATTATTTTGGCCTTATAGGCCCGTATGTCATATGTATAAGTCAGTATGCGAGGTTTGGTCGTTTTATGTTGAGTGTTCCCTCGTGTTTTATTCTTGTTACCTCATACGGCCCTTCTGGCCCATTTGCTCATGTTGATGTAATAAGAAAGATACGTTATGTTGGTACTCGGTTGAGTAAGGCACCGGATGCTCGTCGCGGCCCATCGGTTTGGATCTTGATAGACGGTTACAAAAATGAATATCAGGGAATATTCTAGAAGATGAGAGAGAAATTGTAATATTCTATTCCAAAAGTAAATTGTATCTGTAGATGGATATATAATGTGTAAACTTAATCTAACTGTGGCTAGTACAAAAGCTAACTCTAGTTACTCTAACTCTAGCCTAGTCTAAGTTAGTTATAGCTAACAAGTGAACAACTAATAAAGCTAACCACCAATATCACTATTAATCTCAACGCTCCCTCTCAAGCTGGAGGGTAAGAACAAGCTTTCAACCCCCAGTTCGCTAAGCAAAAAACAATGTTGTGCCTTTCTAAGACCTTTAGTGAGGATGCCAATTGTGCTTTAGTGTTAATGTGCTAAGTCTGAATGAGGCCCTGATGTAGCTTTTTCTTCACAAAATGGCAATCAATGTCAATATGTTTTGTGCATTCATGAAAGATAGGATTGGCAGCTATTTGAATAGCTGCTTTGTTGTCACAGTGCATGGTAACAGGTAGCTGAACTGTAACTCTCAGCTCTTTGAATAGCCCAACTAGCCATGAAAGTTATGCAACAGTGGAGGCCATACTCCTAAATTCTGCCTCTGCTGAACTCCTGGAAACTGTGTTCTGCTTCTTAGATTTCTGAGAAACTAAGGAGTTTCCAAACTTAACAAGGTAACTTGTGACAAACTTTCTAGACAATGGACATGCTGCCTAGTCAGAGTCACAGTATGCAACCAAGTTGTTAGACCCCTCTGAACACACCAACAGTCCCAATCCTGGTACATTCTTTACATATTTGATCACCCTTAAGACTGTATCCATATGAGATCTCTTTGGCTTATGCATGAATTGACTTAGAACTTGGACAACATAAGCTAAATCAGGTCTAGTCATGGTCAAATATAGTAGCCTTCCTACCAGTCTTTGGTAAGGTTTAGGATCACCCAAAATGCTATCATCTGTATTTGTGCACACCACAGCTTCATCAAATTATAATGTTGTTAACCTTTTATTACACTCTAATGGAGTAGATACGAGTTTAACTCCCCCTAACCCAGAGTCAGTGATCAAGTGAAAAGCATATTTTTTTGGTTCATCAAGATGCCAACTTTACTTTGAGCAAACTCTATGCCCAGAAAGAACCTGAGCTCTTCTAAATCCTTCATCTTGAACTTCTTTTGTAGGTTGGATCTAGTAGTCTGAATCAAAGTTGCATCATCGCCAGTAAACAAAAGGTCATCTACATAGACCAACACAATGAGTAAGGCTGAGCCTTATTGTTGTGTGAATAAAGAGTAGTCGAAATGGCTTTGAACAAAGCCCATGTCTTGAAGAGCCTCCATTAACTTAAGGTTCCATTGTCTGGAAGCTTGTTTCAAGCCATAGAGTGACTTCTTTAGTTTACAGACTTTAGATTTGGACTCCCCCTTGGTAGTGTACCCTTGTGGACGTTGCATGTATACTTCTTTAAAGAGATACCCCCTTGTAAGAAAGCATTATACATATCCATTTGATAGATGTACCAATGCTTAGAGGCTGCTACAATAATAATTGATCTGACAGTAACCATCTTGGCTACTAGGGAGAAGGTTTCCTTGTAGTCCAGGTCTTCTTGTTGACTAAAGCCTTTGGCTACAAGTTTGACCTTGAATCTCTCTACCTCTCCATTAGCTTTGTACTTCACCTTGTATACCCACTTACAACCTATGGGAGTCTTGCCTGCAGGCAAGTCAATAATGTCACATGTGTTATTTTCTTCTAAGGCTTCCACTTTTTGCTGCATGGCTGTCACCCATCTAGCATCTCTTGCAGCGTCAATATAGTATTTTGGCTCTACAACTGAAGTGTGTGCTAAGAGACACTTTGCATAGGAAGGGGACAAATTGTCATAGTTCAAATAGTTTGACATTGGATATGCACAGGAAGTTGAGACAAAGTCCTGCATCCACTTTGGTGTACCTGTAGTTTTGGGTTGTTTTCTGATTGCAATAGGTAATGTGTTAGTGGTACCTTGGTATTGTGGGAGATTCTTAGTAGCTTCACCAATTGATGGAGGGAGAACATCAAGTGAAGTCTCTACTTCTTCATGAATTTAATTAGAATTCTGTATTTTACCAATATTTAGAAATTTATCACATACAGAGTCTTCAATCTGAGTAGGTTGAGATGCATCATGGATGGGTGGCACCTCAACTGCATCAGCTGGTTGAAGGACGTGAAAAATAGGAATGGAAGACACCTTCATGTGCTTGAAAGGAAAAATCTGCTCCTTAAAGATCACATCTCTACTAACCAGGAATTGCTTGGAGTGCAAAACACTACAAAAAAGCGGTGAAATTCCGGCGGTTAATTATGGCGGTTATTGAAAAACGTCGCAATACACGTTATATTATGGCGGTTAAGTGAACTGCCACAATTCCGCATTTATAAAATGGCGGTCCAATACATAAATGGCGTTTTGAACCGACATTATGTTTATTTTATTTTAATTTAATTTAATTTTCACATATTAAAAAAGTAATACTTCTCACTCACACCAATTAGAAGTATTTGGAACTTCCTCCCATCGCTCTCTCACCCCCAATTTCTCAAACCCTATTTTATGCAATCTCCCTCTTTCCCGCTCACCAACCTAGACCAAATCATTGGCATGTATCGCCGGATCATCGTCGACTCCTTCTTATCTCATCTGATGTTTTCCTTCCTTCCCCTCTTCTCGCCATCGAGACTGTAGCGTCAATAGGGAAGAAATTACAAAGCTTCTGGTCTCCGGATGCTTGCAATGCGTTCTTTTGCCCTGTTGCGCCTTTGATGATGTCAATTCCCATCTCCAAACAAGGTTCAGCTAGGTCCTCTCTACTTCTCTATGTTTTGATTACTTAATGTGGATCTAGGGTTATATTGCGGGTTCACTTTTGCGCTATCAATAGTTGGTGGATCTGTGCTTAGATTGCTTTTTTATTTAACATTGTATATATTTGTTGCTCTAAGGAATGGTTTCATTTGTGGTGGAAATTTGGCTGACAAGCAAGAGTGTGTATGCAATTGAGGTTTTTTTGGTCTTTTATTGTTATATCCTCTGATAGAGCTATGAAATTGTATTGGTCGAAGGATTGGATTCTTCTTTTGGAATTGACTGTAGTATCATTTGGAGAATCATAGAAGGAAACTGGATGAGATTAGTATGGTTGTGTACTCCTTTTTCAGTCTCTCTATTTGTTTAAAAAACTTAGCGAAGGTAAAAGAGGCTATCTGTTCAGCTAGTTTTCTAGATATTTTTTTGCTTGAGTAAAATCGGTGTGTTTTTGGAGGTAATGAGATGAGCTGTATGTATGCTCGTTTTTAGGAAAAAATTTCTTTTTATCTTAAAGAAGAAAGACCTGCAAAAATAAAAGAGGGTAAAGGAGCAAGGTGTGCTCTTACATTTAGATTATAATTTTATTCTTAAAGGAGATTGTATAAATAATTGGTCTCTTTTAAGACATTTGAGTATCAATCATTTGATAAAAATTTGATTTTATTCCTTGGTTGAACAGAATTTATTATTGAGAAACGGCGACATGTGTTTTGCTACTTTCTTTTTTAAAGATTCTGAGTTTAACTTGTTGATCCTTCCTGAATTGTTTGTGTATTCAAAGATATATTAGCAGGGATAGAGGAGCATATGAACAGAGGATTGTATAGTGTCCTTACCTAATTTGAAATTGAGGCTTGGTTGATAGAATCAAGAGTTGTATGTGTGTGGAGTGGTGTTTGGTTGTCATTTACTCATATTGTATATTCTTGTGCAAGCTATTGAATTTTGTAGGTTGAATAATTGAGTTGTTCTACTTGAATTAATTTTATTACCATTTGCAATGCTGTTGTAGTCTTTCTTTGCTTCAAACTAGGTATTGCAAACTTGGCTGCATGAATTGTGTTTGGTGTTTGTGAGAATTTTTTGCATAGGCTAAGTTTGCTTGCCCATATTTCAATAGGCTTTTAGGTAAAGACTTCTGTATTGATAATATCTCATTACTAATTCAGTCATTTTTTTACCGTAAAAGAGAAAAAACTCAGTGAATTTTTCTCTTTTTCATTCTGCATATATGGGAATTCAAATGAAATATTTTATGAGCTTTTTTATGAAGTTTTTGTAGCATATTTAATTTGACTAGTAGTAGTTCTCCTGAGATTTAACTACTAGAGTTATTCGTAATCAAGGTAGTACATGGAGTAGTCTAGTTTTACTTTTTAATTTTATTAAACTTTTGAGTAAGCAATCTTTTTTAATATATGTTTAATCTAATGGGATTGGACAAATTTAGAGGTTCTAACTCAGAAAGGATCTTCGTTTCTTGATCATGCAGGAGCCTGAGCCCATGAGCTGGGATATTACACGAAAGGACTTGGTTCTTGCTTGCTAGACATGTACAAAGAGGCCTATGAAAAGTATGTGGAACATCATATTTCTTGTGCTTTACCTTCTTTTCTTAACTTTGTCGGCTGGGTCTTTGCATAGTCAGTTTGATTATAATTTACAACATTTATGAGAGTATGACTTAGATTGTTGGCTATAAAAGCTCTTATTAGTACAACCTTCTGAAGACAAGCACAATATTTCTTTTCTTGTTTCTACATATTAATCTTTGTTTAGATCAGTCATACAAATCTAATTGAAGTTTGTCGACTTTCTATAATGATTGTTACTGTCTATAATAATGTGTTTCAAATGCTTGGTATAACTTTAATGTTGATGAATCTACTACAATGTGCACGTTAGAGATGTAACATGTAAAATAATCAGATTACTGCTACATTAACTGCCCTTATGTCCTTGATCTCTTTATAGACATGAAACTTGAGGATATATTTGATACTTAGTTGAGGTTCAATAGTTTTCTTGAGGTGTGTGGAGAGAAAATACTATGACATAATCTCTAATGTGAATGTTACGTGTCCTACGGAAGGTAAAAGCAATCTTTTCCTATTCAAGGTGTTCACGCATGATTGATGATGATGAACATATATTGTAGAAGGCCATATGGTAAGTTTTAATTTCTTAGTATTTTGGTTTTAACATTATAGTAATTGAACAGTTTGTCTTCTATATTTACTCTCTTGTAAATGTAGTTTCAGTACAAAGGTTGTACTGTTTTTAACTTATCAAGACTATGAATACAAAAGCATGACGAAATCTGAGCTGTGAACTAAAATAATATATGAACTACATATTAACTACATCCATGAGATTTGTAAACTTGCTCTTCTTTGACTTTTGGACAGAATATCATTGTTTGAACAATTAATACTTATTTATTGTCTCGTCTTTTTGCAGGCACCAGATTTGTGGATCTCCATCGATCGAGTCAGAAAGATCATTGTACATGTGCCAATTAGTAACCAGTGTTTAGATCAACTATGGTGTTATTTTTGGGTCTTATGTTGAATAATTATTTGAAGCTTTAGTACATTTGATGTTGTAATTGTGGAGTACTTGTATTTTTTATACAATATCTTTTATGTTTAATTTTTTATATTTCTATCAAATTTATTACTCCGTACAACATCATACAAGATAATAAGTATAGGGTGTAGTAAATATGATAGTAAATGTAGAATAAAGAAATTACTAAAATAAAAAAAGAATATAAAATTATGACAGAACAATCTGCAATAGTGGCAGTTATTTACAGGATAATTTGGGACACTCTTTTCAATTGTGGCGGTTCAAACAGCCGTATTATGCAAATGGATAACCGTCGTATTATGAACTCGACAATTATGGCGGTTCGGTGAAAACCGCTGTACTAAGGTTTTGGCGAAACGGGATTATGGCAATTTTTAAAACTGCCGTTAATGCATATTATGGCGGTTCAAAAACGCCGCAAAACGTAAAAGGCATCGCCACTATTTCATTATTTTTTTGTAATGTATAATTATAATTAAATCATATAACGTGTATCCTTTCTTAGTAGGTGAGTATCCCATAAAGACAGCAGACAGTGCCCTATCTGAGAATTTATCCTGTCTTCTCACATTCACAGCATAGCATAAGCATCCAAAGACCTTCAAATGCTCCAAGGGAGATTCAGTGTTAAACAACATCTCATAAGGAGATTTCCCCTTTAGAATTGTGGAAGGTAGTCTGTTTATAATGTGAACAGCTATGAGTACACAATCTCCCTAAGATCTTACTGGAATTACAGCTTGAAATCTCAAATCCCTAGCCACATCCAGTATATATATCTATGTCTCCTTTATACAATGCCATTATATTGTAGATTATATACACATGTAGTCTGATGAATGATCCCCTATGATTCTAAGAATTGTCTCATATCTGAGTTAACAAATTCTGATGCATTGTCTGTTCTTGTTGTCTTGACATGACAATTAAACTATGTATGGATCATACAGACAAGCCTCTTCATCAACCAATAGGTTTCATCCTTAGCATTCATTAAAAATAATCAAGTAGATCTAGAAAAATCATCTACTACTGTAAGAAAGAATCTTTTATTATCATGAGTAGGTACTTTATTGGTTCCCCATACGTCTGCATGTAAGAGCTAAAAAGGAGCATGTGCTCTACTCTTACTGACTGAAAATGGCAATTTAGTTTGCCTAGCTAATAGACAAACTGGACATTCTAAACAATCACTAGCTGATCTATCATTTCCAAATTGCTGCTTGAGCTTGTTAATTCTCTTAATGCCTCCATAGGTAGATGTCCATCTGATGCCAAATTCTCACCTTTATTGAACTCTGATTTTTTTGTGTTGAAGTCTGCATAGCTGTGGTATGTATAATTGGTGTATTCAACTATATTTTTTGAATGCAATCTTTAAGAATGTAAAGCCCATTTGATTCACTACTAATCCCCAACACCTTGCCAGTTAAGAGATCATGAAACACATATAGGTCAGGAAAAAATGATACCAAGCATCGTAGCTCTTTAATGAGTTTTGAAACCGACAATAGGTTGTACTTAAAATGAGGAACATGAAGTACATCACTAATTTTATGATCTTTGAATATATTAGTTGAATCACTATGGGCAATCTCAGGTAATTCTCCATTTGGTAAGTGAACTGAATGACCTCTATTTAATAAAACTGCATTATGCAGTAAATCCAACCTTGGAGTCATATGATTAGATGCTCCACTATCTACAATCCAAACACCTTGATTCAAACAAGTCATTAAGGATGTAATAGTACATGTTTCCAGCTCTGCTGCATTAGTTGTAACTTCGGTGGGCTTACACTTGAGCAATTGCAGGATTTGTTGGTATTGTTATGGTGTGAAGGTGTAGTGGGATTGGAAGTGAAGGTTGTTGGAGCAGGCTGTTCAGTTGCCAAATTAGCTGTTCCTTGAGGATTGCATTTCTTCTTAAATTTGTGATCATTTGGATATCCCACTAACTTGTAGCATATGTCCCTAGTATAACTTTTCAATTTGCAGTAATCACAGTAGAGGTTGTAATTCTTCTTTGGCTTTTGCTGATTTCCAACTCTATTTGTCAACAAGGCAGCCATTTCACCAGCATCTAGACTAGTAGAAGCACTTGCCATAGTCTTTTGGCTTTCACGTTCCATAAGCATAGAATATGCCTTATTCACTGATGGCACTGGTATCATCATCAAGAGCTGACTTCGAGCCTGCTCGTATGATTCATTCAGTCCCATTAGAAAATGCAAAAGCTTTTGGCGCTCCATAAACTGAACAAATTCACGAGAATTGGCAGCGTCATAACTAGGAATTGGTGCCAAACTATCAAATTCTGTCCAAAGCACTCTCAATTTTGAGAAATAAGTTGAAATTGAGCTAGTGCCCTGCCTAGCAATATCAATTTCTCTGCGGATGTGAAAAATCCTAGAACAATTCACCTTATCAAAACGCTCCTTCGGATCTTCCCATACCGCACTAGCATTTGAGGAATACACTATTCCACTCAATAATTCTGGTCTAACACAGTTTATCAACCAAGATAATACAATCACATTACAACTCTCCCAGAGATCAACGAGATTCGTACCGTAATTCTCCCTTTTGCATGTGCGGTCAATGAAACATAGCTTATTTCAACCTAGGATTGCAATCCTCATTGCCCGGCTCCACACGGAGTAGTTTTCCAGTCCTCTCAATTGCAACGAAATCAATATAGCTCCTGAATTATCATTTGAATTCAGGAAAAGTGGATGATTGTGACCTAATTTCTCTGCAGGTTCGGTGTTATCGACTGTCGCCATTGATGATCTTCCTTCTAAGCTTCGAGATAATAAAAATTGAAGACACTAGGACCACACTATGGCCATGTGGCTCTGATACCATGTTGAATTCAGCTATTCATGGAGCTCTGCCATGGTGATTGAGCTGAACTACACTATTAGCTAAGAGGAAGGCGGTTACGGAAATGAATATCAAGGAATATTCTAGAAGAGGAGAGAGAAATTGTAATATTCTATTCCAAAAGTAAAATCTATCTGTACATGGATATATAATGTGTAAACTTAATCTAATTGTGGTTAGTACTAAAGCTAACTCTAGTTACTCTAACTCTAGCCTAGTCTAAGTTAGTTATAACTAACAAGTGAACAACTAATGAAGCTAACCACCACTATCACTGCTAATCTTAAGAGGTTTACTAAAAGATGTCAAAATAATACATACCAATAGTGTAACTTATATATACTGATTGTGTAAAAAAAAACACCAAGTTATTCAAAATCCTATCAGATAGCCTTCCATAAGAAATGAGATTTATAATCTTAAAAAGAAAAGATAAATTATCTACTATCACAAACTACAACATACCCAATGTGATCCCACAATGGAGTTTGGGGAGGATAGAGTGTGCGCATACCTTACTCCTAATATAAAAACTTATCTATCACAAATAATATAAAAAACTTTTTTGCACTATCCAATATGTTTATAATATAGATCCAATAATAAATACTACCCGTACTACATGCATGGATGTTTTCAATTAGAGCCCGTATGACTTAGCTGATTTAGAGTAACTGATAAGCATTAGGTGCTGAAAAGCACTTTTAAGTGCTGAAACTGATTTAAAAAATAAACAGTTATGTGTTTGGATAAAAGTGCTGAAATTAATAATATGCAGCTGAAGAACTGGGTATACGAAGTGTTTTGTTTTAAAAAGAAGTATTTTAGAGATAGAATAGTAAATATTTTGGTCAAACTTAAAGTGCTTATAAGCTAAAATTTGATAAGTTGGGGGAGACCAACTTATGGCTTTTGGCTTATTTTTAGCTTATAAGCACTTAACTTATAAGCACTTTTAATTTTACCAAATGCGTAGATAAGCCAAAAAGTACTTATAAGTCAGTTTGACAAGCTTATAAGCTTAGCCAAACACCCTCTTAGTTATCTCAACTGGCTGTTAAAATAACAATAAGATACCTTCTAATAACTGAAGAACTTTTATTCTATTCTTTCTACCTCTAGAACCCATAGAATTCATAAGTTCCCTCACTTCCCTCAGTCCAATGCAGCTCCTTAGTCACACTGACTTTCGTTAAACAAACTCAGCTAAAACTCAAAACTCAGATAAAACTTCGCTCCTCAGCAAAATCCTCACTCTGAATAAAATAACACTCTCTGAATCTTGCAATATGTCAACGCATTATTTTAAGCAACGTGACAGTCAAATTGGGCTGCAGCAGCAGTTGCAGACGCCCTAAACTTTCCAGCATTTTCCGCCCTAAGCCCCGCCGGCTTCCACCACCATAAAACGACCAAGCACCACCACAACCCCGCCTACAACTCCTCCTCCTCTACTTCTACTAACGCTACTACTACCACCACTATCTCTCCGGCCTACTACTCCGACACCGAGAGGGCCGTTCAAGGATTCGAAAGGATAGGCGGCAAGAGTGTCACCGTCGAGAAAGATTCCGACGACCCTTACGTAGACTTCCGGCAGTCAATGCTTCAAATGATTCTTGAAAAGGAGATACACTCTAAAGACGAATTAAGAGAGCTTCTTAACTGTTTTTTACAGCTTAATTCTCCTTACTACCATGGCGTCATTGTTAGAGCTTTTACAGAAATCTGGCATTGTGTTTTCTCCTTAAAGCCTGGAGTCGTCGGAGCGGAGTCGCCGTTCTTGCATGGCAGCGGTGGAGGAGGGTGGTGCTCACGTGATTTTTAGGTGGTGATCACGTGAGTGACATTTTTTTTTATAAGGATAGCTTTTAAGTATTTCACGTCAAAGTGTATTTACTATAGTAGCATGAAGATGTGGGACCCATACGTATTTCTTGGGTTCCAGCAATATTTTCTTGTAATGTGTTTAGCTTTTAAGGGTTAGGCAAAACGGAAAACCAAAAAAAAAAAAAAAAAAAAAAGGCAAAGGTGCTGTTTTCACAGTCATTTTTATTTACATTACTGTACATCCGTCTCAAAATTGATGAAGAAAAAAACTGTCGAGAAGGTGGTAAAAATGCTGTGAAAATTGTAGTATTTTACGGTTATTATAATGTAAGGTTTTTAGTTTTGTCCATATATTACCTCTCATTTTGGTTCCACCACGTACTGACGTACACATTGTATACTAGTAGTATCTTCCACCTTATCTCCACAGCTTTCGGCGACCCCTTCCCCTTCCTCTTTTTTTTTCGTTTCAAACATGGACCTTAACTTAGCGAACTGGCTTAGTAAAGTAGAAATTATTAGCTGTCAATTGTTCATAGTCAGTAGTGGAAGAGGGCGTAGCTTAGTTTCATCCATTTTAAAGATACTAGTTAATGACCAAAATGAAATTAATTGTTCTATTACGGAAGTAGGGATCCCATACGCTGGGTTAATCACTAAGGTCTTATACAATTTTATGTTGGATGATTTCGACCGGGAATTTAAACAGCTATACCCTAGTCTTTCTTATTATCGTTACTTGGTTGACTGACTTTTTGGTTGTTTAATGAACGGCGCTTTATCACTTTATTTGCACGGAGGAGAATATCAGTTAGGACTATCTGTTTCCTGAAGTCCGTAAGGTTACGATTTTGAACAGAAAGAATATACTACTACTATGCACTAATTTTTCCTTTTAATTTCTGTCAAATTGACTGGAGATCAGCTACGAGAAGAGGCCACTATAGGCAATGCAACAGTAGAATATTCTAGAGAGAATTTTTGTGTAATGTTTCTGTTATTCAGAGAGGAAAGAAGACCTTCCTTTTATACAGAGTAGTTAGTGTTTCTTAGTTGGACACTTGCTAGTCACGTGTCCTTGCAGTGCATTTTAACTCCACTTGTAACTGACTAACTAACTTTAATTGTAATATATTTTTAATACTCCCCCTTAAGCTGGAGGATGAAATACATTGAATACTCCAAGCTTGGACTATAAGTACTGATGTTGCACGATTCCTAAACCTTTGTCAGTATGTCTGCCGACTGATCTTCGATGCTCACATGTTGAGCTTGTATTAGCCCTTCTTTAATTTTCTCTCTAACGAAGTGGCAATCTATCTCGATATGCTTGGTTCTTTCATGGTAGATTGGGTAAGAAGCAATCTGAATTGTTGCTCTGTTGTCACAAAAAAGCTGTACAGGTCTGGAAACTGGCATACCTAACTCTACTAGTAATCCTTCTAGACAAATTACTTCGAAGATTGCTGCTCCCATGGTTTTGTTTTCAGCTTCTTCTGAGCTTTTGCTTGTTGCCTGCTGCTTCTTTGATTTCTAAGAAATCAAGGATTCTTCCTTTACCACGCACCTTGTCACTGACCTTCTAGTGTATGGGCATGCTGCCCAGTTTAAATCACAAAACACTATCAACTAGGCTTGTCGATCTTTCTTCAGTAGCAGTCCTTGTCCTGGTGCATTTTTTATGTACTTCACCAGCCTCAATACTGCATTCCAGTGTGAAGTCTTTGGCATTTGCATAAACTGACTTTGTACTTGCACCTCAAAACTGATGCCAGGCTTGGTGATGGTAAGGTATAATAATCTCCCAATCAGCTTTTGATAGGTTGTTATGTCTTCAAGTACAGGGTCATTGACACCCCCAACACATTCATCATAATCTATTGTTGTGAGCTTCCAATTGACTACCAATGGTGTGGTTACTGGCCTAGCACCACTGAGTCCTAGATCATATATTAGCCCAAGTGCATACTTCCTTGGATTGAGTAGTATGCCATCTTTGAATCTCAATACTTCAATTCCTTGAAATTGTTATTCAGAGTAGTTTTTGCTTCCTGTAACAATTCCTTGCAGCTTCCAGTGATTACAAGGTCATCCACATACACCAAGATGATAACTATTGATCCCCCTACTTGTTTGGTGAATAAGGAATGATCATAGGAACTTTGTTTGTAGCCAGCTGCTAAGGGTGCATCAGTAAGTTTTATGTTCCATTGTCTCGAAGCTTGTTTTAAGCCATACAAGGATTTGATCAATTTACACACTTTATACTCCCCCTGTAGTTGAAAACCTTGAGGAACTTCCAAACGACTAACATAACTCATAACATAACCTCTTTACCATGTTAAGCACCCTAGTCTCACCCCAAAAGTACATTTTATAACATTCCCAACTTGTCGACTTTCGACGAAACATTATTTTCTTCAATTCCTTTAGCTTCTGAACCTTTCAACTCTCTTTGTACTTGTTGTTCATGATCTTCAACATTTGTAACCTCTGAGGTAACATGATTAACTTGCTTTATATACTTTAAAATATAATCTCATTTTTATTCCTACATTAGTTTACTTACGACGCACTTTTACGTACGAAAATATAGGGTGTAATATCATTCCCCCTTGGGAACATTCGTCCTTGAATGTTTACTGTTAGAGACTTTGGAAAATTTTGTCAGAGTCTCTTCCGTACACTAGACTAAAACCAACCTGCACGCAGCCAAAAAACATGCTATACATACCACACATGGCCAATGTCTATAAATAGCAACACACGACCGTCAATCATAAATACCGAAAGTCAAAAATAAGAGCTTGCCTGATGACCTACTTGCTTGAATAGAGATGTGCTGAAGTATCCCATCTCGAGCCATATCTTTAGTTTACAATAGATGGGGGTATTTAGACTTCATTTCTTCCTCCGTTTCCCACGTCATCTCTTCCACATTCTTGCTAAACCTTCACGGAGGCTACCTGCTTATTTCGTAGCTTGTGGATTTACGGTCTAGGATGGCAACTGGAACTTCCTCATACGATAAGTCCTCCGTAATCTATAAATCATCAGTGGGCACCACTCG